GAGAGAGCAGTTAGCACAGCCAGTCCAAAATCGACTGAGTCTAAAAAGCGGGAGGACACACCTCAGGGGCTATGATGTCACATTTGATAGACTATTGGATACTGACAGAGTTAACCCATGCATGGCTGCTGTCTCCACCAACTTTGGAGAATTTATAATATAGACATCAATGTGGTAAATAACTTCTACCTTTTAGAATCAACCATCAACAAAAAAAGAACAAACTTTCAATTTTTGAATTTTGGTGTTTGTCTTGTCCATAATGTCCAATGCTATCATCCAATCTTTTTTTAAGTAACCTCAATATTTTAAAGCCATTCTGATTTAGCATTGTTATTTTATGGTTTTATTCTTTATTATTCAGAATAAAGTTGGGTGGCCTCATAAGTACAATTTATAAAAAAGACTCCTGAGACTATCCTAGACAGGCAAGAAAACAAACCAAAGGATTGCTGAACAATTCAACCCAGAATCCCCATTAGAGGCACAAATGACCAATTTCAAGTTATCCAATACATTATGAAAAGATTTACCCTATTTTTTGGAGTATAAAATGCACAGGAGTATAAGACACACCAAGATTTTGAAGAGACACATTAAAAAAAAAGATTTTGCACTTTGTAAAAAATGAGCCCATTTTTTTTTAAAAAACAGACCCATTTTTGTAAAAAAAAAGGGGGGGGCATGCATAGCCTTTAGGAGGCTTATAGAGTGCTCCTGGGAGCTGGGGGGAGGGCAAAATTGAACAAAAAAGCAGCTCATTTTTCGCTCATTTCTGCCCTCCCCAGCCCTCAGGAGCACTCTGGAAGCCTCCTAAAGGCTATGAACGGCCATTTTCGTGGAGGGGACGGGGTTTCGGGAGGCAAAAAATGCTGTATTCAGTGTATAAGACGCACCCAGATTTTCAGCCTCTTTTTATGAGGGGAAAAGGTGCATCTTATACTCCGAAAAATATGGTAGTTCTCTAGAAAAGGCTGTAATAGTGAGGATAAAAAGAAAGAAGACAATCAGCAGCAATGTGCATAGACTCAATTATAGCAGCAATGGAAACTTTTGTTTAGTATTTTTGTATTTGTTTATTATTTATAGGCCGCCCTTTTCCCTGAGGGGACTCAGGACGGCTCACAATTTATAGGGAGGGGAATACAAGACGAGACATGAGACAATACATAAGTAAAAGTAAAACACAACATT